ATAATGCCATTGTGACCTAGTTAGCTCGTGACTATGTTGTATTACATGTACACCACCTCAAATTGTCCTTTATTAAGTTTTGTTGCTATGCTTGCCTTACAATAAGATTGTGTGATGCCTACTTGTCTTTGCTTTCTTGCTTTCACATTTACATTCTTCATCAATTATTTCAACCAATTTTGTTTTCTTGTGTCCTGAAATTTCTCTTTCCTTCAGCAGAACACACATAATATTTTTCACTTACTATCTTTGTGTGTGTGATGATGTATCTAGTTGTATGTTTTTTTATTATTGAAAAACCGAGCATAGCAGCATGCTTTTCATACAATTCCAAGATTTCTTCAAAAGTTTGTCTTACCACACTAACAAATGATCCTTTAAGATCTAAACTAGAAGCATTAATTGGATTTGCATATGTGATTTAACACAGTCATATCATATAAGCAGTAGCAGCATATCATTATGTTTAGAGAAATGCTATGTTTTATATGGATTACTTTTATGCATAAAATGGATAACATCTACGCATAAAAAGGGTAATGTTATATTACAAAAAGGGTAACATGTGAGTGTATAAAAGGGTCACCTTTATGCATAAAAAGGGTCACTTTTGCATACTAATTACAAGGTTGATTGTACGTTTTATAACAAAAAGGTAACATGTGAGTTTACAAAAGGGTAGCATTTATGTGTACAAAGGGTCACCTTTATGCATAAAAAGGGTAACATTTGTGCAAGATTCAGCACATTAACTTCAAAATTCAGTTTCGTTCCAATTAGAAAGTTGGTTGTATCGAAATTACCTTCAGTTTCATTTGATTTGGACATTTGTGCTAAATTTAAATCAATTAACTTACCAGGAACCACTTGATTTTCTATCTCTTTTGTCAATTTGATTACCTCTAGTGTCCTGATTCGTGCTTATACTTTCTCTATCCCCGTTCATTAATGACGCTTCTCCGTGTTCATCATCAATTCGAGTAGTTTCTTTGTTATCATCTACAAAATTCGTTGTTTCATCTTCTATTATTGTGCGATTTAGGTCGAAATTACCTAACAATGGTGTTTGAATTTGCCTCTGTTGTTGAAAATCGTGGATCAAATTACTATAATTTGATGAATTGAAGTTTGTTGATGATTCCTCCATTGATGATCGAATATTTAAGGTAACCAATTTTGCGTTTCTGTCTGCGCTTTCTCAATTTCTCTCTCCTCCATTATTGCTCTGCGATTACTAAAATTAAGGGAAGAGTGTTCTCAGTTTTTCGCGTTGTTTTATATGAAATTTTTTTTTGAAAAAAATAAATTGGCACGTGTGGCGGCGTCTGATTTAAAATAAATTATTTTAAAGCGGGGGCTTGAAATTTTTTTGAGTATTTAAATAGAAGTTATTTCAAGTTGCTTAGAAGGTAAGATTTTCTATATTCATGATTGTGTAGCGTGGAACATGATATTATAATACCTTCCGGATGAGAAATATATACACGCTTTTTGAATGAATCGGCTTTTCATCATTTACAAAACTACTACGTATAATATTCTTTATCACTCCCCTGCAATCATAGTATAAGGATGATGAAGCTATGATTGAATTTGAATTCTAAGAGTATGACTTTTTTTTTTTAATTGAAACAAAGAGATCTGGTTTAATTTTATTATGTTTTTATCTGAATTTTTCTGATTTAGTTTGATCTTATTAGATTTAATAATTTGACTAAACTGTGACCGTATTTTAATACTAATTTATAAAGAAAAACATTATCAAAATGGATGTTGTTAGATTCATCTCATTATAAACTTTCCAAATATGTAATTTTTCATAATTTTTTTAAATACGCAATTAACCACATTTAACTATAAGTAAGTGATAATTAAAAATTCTGATCTAAATTGATCTGAATTTTTCTAGTATGATCTGATTTGATATGAATTTATTAAGGAATAAGTAATGAATACCAGAAACAAGTTGAAGAGAACATGTCCAAAGTCTCGTGGTAGGTCTTTGCGATGATGTACAATTGTACATGTTATTTAGAAATACGAAGAACCCAAATCTAACTCGGTAAAAACAAATTTTTTCGAAACAATATTATGTCTATCTTAATATGTTTGGTGTTGAAACAGGTTATAAGACAAATAAAAGTAACGTCTTTTTCATAATAAACAAAAGTAACCTGATGAAGAGATGTTGCTCGACATGACTAAGGAAGATGTTTATAAATTACCTAAATCTTACCAAGTCAAACAAAATGAATGTTTAAGTACAACATCTCTTTAAATCTTCTACAAAAATTATACAAAACGCCATCCAAATTTGGCAAAATCACACCAAAAAAATGACTATTGATCATCAGATAATTTACGCATCTTCAGACGTTGAAGTCCCAATTAACAGCGATGATTGCTTCCTGCCTTCGCCAACTCGAACTGTCCCTTCAGCTTACTTAGTACCATTACCGGTCAAGCGAAGAAGTCGCTGCCAAGCCTTCTGCTACCTTTTATCTATCCTCCTTATGGAGCCAAGTATGTTTATAGCTGCCCATAACCACTGAAGGTAGTGTCTGAGGTTGTCGATTTTAATGTGGGAGTAGTGACTGAGAGGATGAAGTAGATGAATCTGTTGCCTTTAGGTTCTCTCATCGGCTTGACCACAAAATATTACTACCTACGCTTCTTAACACTGGAACTTAAACCACAAAATTTTATGTGTTTCAATCTATTTTGTTGCAAAAATAATTGCAATGAGTGTGTTAATCGAACCAAGTAGATGCTGCTTATTACAAGCAGATTTATACTCTTTGGCCAAACTCGTACTCTCATCCCGGAGTCAAGTCTTGTTCACGACCGTTATAGAGTACAAATACATTTAATGGATTTGTAACGAGAGATATTGTTGTCCTTTCGGATTATCACTTTTGGTTGCTGATAGAAAATATGATTAATTTTTTCGTATATATCTTGTTAGTATCTTTTGTGTATTAATGTTAATCCTATATTCTCATAGATTAGGTTGTAATCCATATATATATTGTGTAATGAGAACATCCTAACCATGGAAAATTACACAGACTTACATGATATCAGAGTCTAATAAGATTTTTTTTTTTTCACTTATATTAAAGGACTAACTCAACTAATAATGTAAGCTTATGATTGAGGCCCTGGATTGGTTGATATAATATACCACGCTCTTTATATGAGAACACTTGAGGTTTAAAATGTGGATGTAATATGGACCTTTTGCATCCTCAATTGCCTTTTCTTATAATCAATGTATAAGTTAATAAATCTTACTATAAAGATTCATTGGTGATTTCAAAGGTTCAACTTTTGATATTTTGAATAGAGGACATATAAGGTATGATTATAAAACAAAGCTTTGGAGCTAATAGGATTGTGATTTGTGAAATATTTGTAATTCAACAAGTTAGAGATTGAGCAATCCTATCTATTCATTGTAAATGAAGGGTCAATATTACACTATTTAGTAGTAACTCTACTTCGTTCAAGTGTTAGGAAAAAGTTTCAGTAATACTTCTCTCTCTTTTGCCTTGTCATATTATCCTTTCATCCATCAACAACATTACTACCTAGGACACCTTGCAAGCACCCACACATTTATGTGCACATTGGATCAATGAAGGGAGTAGGATCGAATTTATAAAGTCGGATAATAGAATTATAAGATCCAACAAAATTGATAAAAAGAAAATAATAAAATGGCGGCTACATAATTAGATACATAATTTTTAATTTATAAAAATGCTTAATTCTATAGTTTAAGGGTCTATTCACATTTACTGAACTGAGTTGAGCTGAAATGATTGGAGTTGAACTAAACTGAACTTAGCTGAAATGAATATTTTATGAGAGGGAAATTAGGAGCTGAATTGAACTGAACTGAAATGGACTGAACTGAACTAAAATTAAGTAAATGTGAACAGACCCTAAGTAATTGGATAATAATTTTTCCAGCTTAGAGAAAGTTTGATTGCTATACGCTAATTTTAAAAAGTAGGATCACACGATCATGACCAATCATACACGATTATGTCGAATCCTATACTATTCAATAATAATCCAAGTGAAAAATAGGATCATACGCTCCTACATTGATCCTGTACGATCCTACAACGATCTTGCATGCTCTGCGATCTACATCAGATCTGAATCGTCTGCAACCACAATCAACAAAACACATTTGCTCACTATCGTGTTTCCCAATAATACGGCCGCAACTAGGCCCACCCAATAGACACAGAAGTGTGTTGTGTTATATATATTTTTGTATTGTGCTAACCCATTTAGTTCTATCATTTACTTATTTAGATTTTTTTGTATTGTGCTAACCCATTTAGTTCTATCATTTACTTATTTAGATTAAGACATCATTTGATTCTAAAAACTAACCTAAAGTACTCAAAGTGTCGAATCTTCCCAAGAGCAGAGCAGATTTCACCCTAACAGAGCTGATCGGATTTCAGAACAGAGTAGAGCAGTGCAAAGAGAGCAGAGCATAATAGCTCAAAAGAATAGGGTGTACATTCAATATATATGGCCATCAGCCCATCACCATAGCCGAAAGCGTAAAACCATAACTAGGAGGTCATGCCTTGCGATTTTAGTCAGTTTATTAATGGCAAATCTTAAATCCTAAAACTCCAAATAGAGACAAGGACATGCTTTCCAAAATTATGTACACGTTTTAACCTTTGATGGACCTTTCCACAAGCAACAAAACACAATTAATTAATAAGAATATGACTAAATCTGGTTATCTGTTCACTTTCTATTATCTTCAATCAAATTATTTTATCAAAATTATCATGAATTCAATGCATTTCACTTTGACAACAACAAAATACATCAAAAAATAATTAGACAACTTGACAAAGATTAGATATAAAAACAATTTCCCTCCTCATCTTTGACCATTGTAGCTGCCATATATTAAACCAATTAACAAATCACAAAAGTGAAAAGTTCTTAATTTCTTACAAATATGAAAAGGAAAAAGAATTACAAGTATATGTATATCTAGAAACAAATAGGGACACGTTATTATATCACTTAAACCACTCAAAGTCAATAAAACGAAACTTCAACGTACCCAATTCCTGACTTTCTATACTCCTATAATATCCTTTATATTTCCCTCTTTATAACAAAAGTCACAATTACATTCAAAAACATCTATCTTATTCAAAAAGTCTTAACACAACCGCCCAAACAAGATGTCTACCGATCACCAAAGGATCCACCCAGCACCGGACGTGGAAGCGCCACCACCATCATCCGCGCCATTGATCCCACCCAACACACTCAAGTCCGATAGCACCGGTCGCGAACACTACCCTCCTTTACCACATCGAGCCGGCCCTCCACCCGCCTACCCCATATCACCCCCGCCATACAAATGTAGAAAAAGAAGTTGTTGCTGCCGTGCATTTTGTTGCATATTTTGTACACTACTTGTACTAATCGTCGCTATTGGTGCTACAATAGGTATACTCTTCCTCATATTTCGCCCTAAAATCCCTGATTATTCCATTGACACCCTTAAAGTCACACAATTTTCCCCTAACAACAACAACTCTATATCCGCCACCTTCGTCGTAAACATAACCGCTCACAACCCTAACAAACGCATAGGTATTTATTACCTAGGTGGGTCTAGTCTTACTGCTTGGTACAAAGACATTCAACTTTGTCAAGGGTCATTGCCTAAGTTTTACCAAGGCCACCGTAACACCACCAATCTCGACGTCTCGTTATCCGGTACCATTAACGATGCGTCGGGGTTAAGCTCTACATTGCAGCAACAACAACAAGATACTGGAAATATTCCCTTGGTTTTAAGGGCTAAGGTTCCAGTGAAGATTAAGTTGGGAAAGTTGAAGTTGATGAAAATGAGGTTTAGGGTTACGTGTCACTTAAGTATTGATAAATTAGCTAATCGAGCTGAAATTCGAATTGGTAGTAGCAGCTGCAAATTTAGACTCAAACGTATTTTTTGATTTTTTTTTTGGAAATTCATTTTGTTCATTTCCATTTTGATTTTCCATTTCTCATTTTTTACATGATTTTGATATATTTTTTGTTGCTGTTTATTATACTATTTCTTATATTACTAGTATTAGATATTTTAAATAAAGATTTGGAGGATCATTTGTGGATCTTTCATATAGATTATTATTGTATATGAGCGAGCTACATGTACATGTTACATCGACTTTTGATGGATATGCTATATTACATACTATACAATGAATAAGAATGTTGTACATTTATTTTATTATTACGAGTAGGATTTTATTTATTTTTGCTTTCATATGAGTATATGACGTTCCAACTAGATCAATCAAGTAATTTAAGCTGACATGTGTGCTTTATCACATTTTCACGAAGCTTTATAAAATTCACAATAAAAATAAATAAATAAATAAATAAATTAATAATAATAATAATAATAATAATCTAATCTAATATATATATATATAAAGGGGGGTTTTTCCCCGAGTTTTTAGAGAGCCACGTAGGATTTAATTTTCTTAGCGTGCCATGTAGGATTATAAATTTAAGTTGTAGCCAATTAAATAAGAGATTATTAATTTCTTTTACAATTAAATAATTAAAATGTCACGTAAGCAAAATTGACGAATGAGATACTACATTTTAAATTAATTAAATACAAAATATTATCCTTTGAGATTAGGAATTTTATCTAATATTTTAAAGCTAATATAATAACAAAAAATCCCATAAATATGAAAAATATTTTTATAAAAAAAATACTAACAAACCGTGCATCACACGGGCTTATATAAAGGGGAGTTTTTTCCCGAGTTTTTAGAGAGCCACGTAGGATTTAATTTTCTTAGCGCGCCATGTAGGATTATAAATTTAAGTGATAGCCAATTAAATAAGAGATTATTAATTTCTTTTACAATTAAAAAATTTAAATGTCACGTAAGCAAAATTAGCGAATGAGATTTTAAAATTAAATTAATTAAATACAAAATATTATCTTTTAAGATTAGGAATTTTATCTAATATTTTAAAACTAATATAATACTTCCTCCGTTTTTCTTTTATTGCACCATAAGGACTTTTACACTATTCACTTGATCTTCTTTGACCATCTTTTGTGATTTATCCATTAGGAAAAATATAGTCATGTGGGATCTAGTTACATTCGTCTCGAAATCTACTTTTCAAATATCAATTTTTTATAATTTTTACAAAAGTATAATTAAAGATATTAATAGCCAAAGTAATGCATTTGCAAGCATGAAACCCCTTATGGTGCAATAAAAAAAGAACGGAGGAAGTAACAATTTTAATCACATAAATATGAAAAATATTTTTTGATAAAAAAAATACTAACAAACCGTGCATCGCACAGGCTTTATCTAGTAATAATAATAATAATAATAATAATAATAATAATAATAATAATAATAATAATAATAATAATAATAATTATAATAATAATAATAATAAAGGTTGTGATAACTGCTAATTTAATTAACCTCCGTCTTGAGCCTGAAGTGAATTGACATCACATGTACTGCCATAGGCAGTTATCAAGCTATTAATTGATTAGGTCAACAACATGAATTGTTCAAAACAAATACACGTTTATGAATAAATAAGAGATAAAATTGTATACGTAATAATTATAAATTTTTCTTATTAATAATGTTAAGTTGTTAATAACTAGTTTTACTATTAAGAAATTGCATACTCCTTTTACGACTGATTGTTCTCATATGAGGATTTGGTAATAAAGGTCCTAATAAATTAAACATTGATGTTTATAAATATGGTCAAAAAGGTACAGGAATTAAGTTTAAACAATAAATTTAATTAGCACACATAGAAGCATTATAATATACAGTCTAGTCCTTTTTATTTTTATTTTTTTAAAAAAAAATTCGACAACAAGGAAACAAGAAACATGGGCTTTCTTCACAGCCAATAAGAAACAAAAAGGACAATCTTCTGGCTGTAGTTGCTAAATCATGGGCTACAATGCTACATGGAATTGAGGTGTTTGGGTCCAATTTACTCCTGTTGGGCCGATCCACAAATGATTCAATCGTAAAACCCAGGGTTAAGGTTCAACTCTCCAAATCAAGCTAAGTCAGTCAAAGGCTCTATCAAAATGGCAAGCTCGTTTGACCCAAGGCCCATTTGTCTATCAAAGTAAAGGTATAAAAGCCTTCACTCTCCTCTCTCTACATTCATTCACACAAAGCCTTAAGCGATTAATACTCTTGCATAATTTTCTCTCTCTAAACCTTGTACTGACTTTAGCATCGAAGGGGCCTTCCTCGGCAAAACCCCTGAGGCTAGTTTATATGTGTTTGTTGTGCAAGAAATCCTCGGCCTAGTCATCACTTGGACTGAGAACAATCTTCAACCCACAGGAAAGGACATGTCCGAAGGTCCCATTGTTTTTACCCAAATTGAAACACGGGGTATTAATAAGTGCTCCATTTGTCCACGACACATATGCCAATACAAATATTTGACCAACAACATCTTTAATTATCAATAAATATATATTTTAAAAAAATAAAAATTAATAATCTACGTAGTATTTATTATGTGATAATTTCAAGAAATACTCACAAGACTATATTTTTCTTATTTATATAAACAAACATTAGTCAAAGTAGGTCAAATACCCAATAATGCAAAGAATGTTAATAGAATACTTGTTTATAAACGGAGGAGCTGCGTAACAAAGTTTATTTATAAATAGGTGAAATAGTTACATATCAAAAGAATATGTAGTAAGATGTTCTAAACTTCAATCTTCGCCCTTTCAGATAATAATTATTTTTAGTTAACTTAATTGGGGTCATGTTCTCTTGAGCTTTAAAAATAATAAGGAATATTCAACAAATATTATTTCAGTTTAGTAAAAAAAAAAATAGAATTTGTATAAATAATAATAATAATAATAATAATAATAATAATAATAATAATATAGCAAAAATAATTTCACTTAAATAAAAATAATTTCATTTTATGAGCAATAGCTAGCTAACCATTCCAATCACCTTTATCACCAAGAAATGACAGTCTCCGATCGTACATATGCAATATAAGATTCAACATATTGCAACAGCCAAAAAAAGTCTAAATAAAGAAAAGAAAAGAAAGAAGGAAAGAAAAAATGTTTCAAAACAATCTATTCCTTGCCTTGTTTGCAGCCATGAGTATAGTTGTGCACTAGTGCCTTTATTGTTGTGTGCACCATTCGCCACTGGTGGACCGTAGAAGATACTCCATCCATCGGTCCTTCCATTCTATATATATTAATGGCAAAATCGTAAATAATACTTTCCCCCATTATTCTTTTTTTCCCTATGTTTCTCACTTCCTCTCAGTCTCTTTCCTCCCTGATCATCATCACTCTTTCCTATTATCTTTTTTCTCAGATTCAAAAAAAAAAAAAAAAAAAAAAAAAACAAAAAATCCCCATTCCTCTCTCTCTCTCTCTCTCTCTCTCTCCTCCCTGTCCTTGTCCTTTTTTCTCCTCCTTAATTATCTCTTCTCCCACCTTTTTTCTCTCTCATATTTCAAAAGGATCTTCATGACTATAATAAAAATATATGTCATGGACAATACATAGAAGAATACACGAGATTACATCCAAGAGTAAGATTAACTATACATAACTTTGAAGATATATGTGCATTTTTTATGTAAAAAATGTGCATAATTTACAAATGTGCATAGTTAATAGAAGTCATCAAAGCCTTTGTACTAATAATGCATATTTTAATCCAATCCAAATAGTAAACGTTGGAAATCCAATCCTTATTAGTGGGTTTGCAATTTTCTTATAACTACATTTACTTTCTTATTAGAAGTTAGAAATAAGCTTTAATGGAGGAGAAAGAAAGAGATTGTTTTGGTGATGAGGAAAATGAAAGGAAAAACAAATTTGCATATTTTTTTATTTAAAAGCATAAATTTTGTACTAAATGTGCATAATTTTTGTGATGAATGTGCATTTTGCACATGTAAAAATCCAATGTGCATAAGTTTGAAATTAAATGTGCATAAATTTGTACTAAACATGCATATTTTTTGCACTGGATGTACATTTTCTATAGGTTAAATGTGAAGCATTGGATTCATTTTTACGGTCAAGATTCCTTTTCATTTTAAGATCCTTCTCATTGGACGATCCAACCCTATATTTATGGTCAAATGAGAAGTTTGTTAAAATGAGAAAGATTTTATATGCATATATTTGTATTGAATGTGCAATTTTTTTGAATTGAATATGCATATACTTTTCGATTTGTATTCGATGTGCATAGAATTTAAACATAATGTACATAATTTTACTTCTAAATATGCATATTGTTTACTCCTCTTATTCATTCACCTAAGAATATGTATTTGGGCAAAGAGGGCACGACATTACCAATTCCAATAGACATTCAATGTTATCCTTTAGATTTAATTTAGTTTCTTAGTTTTCTTATTCATTTACCTAAAAACACCCTGCTTATCTTTCTCTCTCATCCTCTATTTCCATTACATAGTTGTGGAACAACATTAATTGGCGAACGTTCTACGAAGCTTTGAAATGAAGATTTATGATCTAAAATGGTGAAGATGATGATCAGATTGCTTCTACTAGTGGGAAGAATTGAAGGCAAGGAGAAAAATAATCATGAAACTTGTGGAGGAAGAGAGAGAAAAGATGAATAGTAGAAATTAATGACAACAGACGATCTTGATTAGATGGAAGAGTAGCGTGAATTTGTGGGAACTAAGCTTTATAAACAAGGATATTTGATTAGTAGAGAGAGGAAGTAGAGTAGCGTATTTTTTGTTCTAATATCAGCCACTAGATTGCTCATATGAATGATTGAGATTCCTTATTATCCTTCACATTTTAAGATCCTTCTCATAGATCACAACATATACTTTTAAGGTAGAAGAGAAATAGTTGTTTAGAACATTAGTACTGTATTACTCCATATTATATATAGTTTTATGATCTGATCATGTGTTGGGATAAGTACATTAAGAGTTTAAAGAAAAGGATTTTCTAATCAATTTAAGATAAGATTTGGAAGAAAGGGATTGAAGGGTAATTTTCTTTCTCAAGTGGGGCGCGAAATAATCGTAAAATTGGTTGCACAAGCAATGCCTATATGACATATGCTATGTAATACTTCTCCCTTTGGCTATGTTTGGATAACAAAAAATGGAAGGAAAGGAAGGGAAGAGAAAGGGAGGGAGACAAAGTTCCTTGTTTGGATAATATGTTGGGGAAGGGAAGTGGAGGGGGAGGGAGGGATCCATTTTCTCTTCTCCTTTAATAAGGATCATCCCTTCAAAATTGGAGAGATTTGGAGGGGAAATGGAGATCACCATTTCCTCCACTTTCCCTTCCTTCCCCTTCCTCCTATTTTCCTCCCTTCCATTTCCCTTCTAATTTGTTATCCAAACATAGCATTAGTGTCTTAGATGAAATGGAGAAGATGTGTTGTAGCATTTTTTTTTTTTTTTTTTTTTTTTTTTTTTTTTTTTTGCCGGTGCAAAGCTGATGATGAGTGAAATCTTGCATGGGTAGCTTGTTAAAAGTTGTATCTTTCAAGGAAAGATGATGGCTTGGAATTCTATGACTTAAGAGCTTTCAATGAAGTGATCTTAATTCATGGTGTGGTCAGGCATGTTTTAAATTTTTTTACAGCCACATATAATTACTAAGCCGGTGAAAAAAGAGATTTTGATTTGGTGTTTAAAACTAATAAGCTAGAGTGCAGCCATGTAAATGCAAATGATACATATTATCTCGAAAGATATTTGGATTGATAAAAAAATACATATGTTTTCAGGATGTTGGAAGTTATTTTGAAATAATACTCCCTCCATTTTTAAATACTTATTCCATTTCTCCATTTGCGAAGTTTAGGAGAAATTGGAGAAAGTAATAAAATATAGAGGTAGTGGGGTAGTTGTAAGAATAAAAAAATTATAAAAGCAAAAGTAGTGGAGAGAAATGTAGGAGAGAGGATATGAAATTAATAAAATATGATTTATGTTTGGTCCACTAGGTGAGAGAAATGAATTAAATATTGTATAAGTTTTTCAAATAAGGAAATGGAGCAAGTATTTAATAACGGATGGAGTATTAGATTCTAATTGTTTTAATAAATTGTTAAATTATTAATAAGGTCGTTATTGAGTAATTTGGAAAAACAAAATATAATGTTATAAATTGGAATTTTTTTTTTAGGAAAATGATGGAAGTTATAAGGTTTATTTTTTAAAAGAAGCAACTTTGGAATTATTTTATTAAAAACAAAGGAAAACGTGCACAAAATTTTAAGGTTGGGGTTTTCATGTGCTGTGATGAAACATTAAGGAAAAAAGTTTTAAAGTATAAAATATATAGTACTTTGTAAAAAAATTATCTTATAATCTACGGATTTTTATATATTCGACGAATGAGATCCATAAGAGATGTACAAAAACTTAAATTTGATACTCGTAAAAAAACATGAATTAAATAAAAGGGTTATAATTTAGTTTAGAATTAAAATATATAATCGTCATATGATCAAAATTAATGACTAAGTGCTTAAATTAATTAAAGTAATAAAATATAATTATTTGATATTATAGATATTTTCCATAAATTGAAATGAAAAAATAAAATTCTACTTATAACTAATTATAGACTTTGTAAATTTATATGAACACGTTGAAAAGAATGATGAAGCCAACGTCGACAACGGCAGTAGCTAGTTATGGCAATTCAGGCAAGGATGAGGACGATGAAAGAGAAGAAAAATAAGGAGATGCGGAGAAAGAGAATGATGATTAGGTTCAAATGGACGGTGGGTCGGATGCGAAGGGTGATCCAGAAGAAGACAACAAAGAGGAAGTGACGGTTGAAGAAACTAAGACGTCTTTTAACGAAGACACAAAAGAAGCGAATGAGTGAAAGCCAGCGGATCCCTTCGATGCTGAAGGTTATGATGACGAAGGCGATTGGGGTGAAGAAAGTGTCCCAGAATGGAACTACTCGGACGACAGTTGGTATAACTCTGAGCCTGGATGGATGACTATCGTGATGACATTGATAACACCAGTATGTATCGTCACAAGTCTCCAGATCATTGAAGGTATCTTTAAAGATCCATATTAAAATTAAAAAAATAAAAAATATTTTTTTTTGGAAGCCCCATTTTATCTACTTGATAAACAAAATTCGTTTATCAAATGGTAAAATGGTAAATAAATCTACAATTTTGTCTAGTAATCATGTTATATTTGTAAATAAATCAACTATTGTGGTCAATTTTAAAGTCATAATGGAATATTTGTAAATAAACCAATTATTGTGGGGTCTATTTTTATTAAAAATTTGTTGATTTATTTACAATTTTTTCATTTGATAAACATATTTTGTTTACCAAGAAGATAAATTTGTATTTTCTCATATTTTTATGTAAAAAACTGATGTGATTTTTTTTTAAAAAAAGTAGTGATAAAGAGATCGCAATAACTGAAAATCGTGCATTGCACAGATCAGATTTACATCTAAAAATAATATAGTAGTAAGGTGATTAATAACAAAATTTACTCCTATAATATTTCTAGATTATAAGGAAAAGTGTGTCACTTTAAAAAATTAATTTGTAGTGTCCCTTATGAATATTAAAAATACCCTAGCAACTCCCTTTAAAATATATATATATATATATATAGATATATATATATATAGATATATATATATATATATATATATATATATATATATATATATATATATATATAACAAAAGGTTAATCAATAAAAAAAATCACTTAGAGAATAATAAAAACTCCAACACCCAATAATTAGAATTAAGTCCAAATTAAAATAAATAAATTACATTATATTTTACCAATCATTACAATCCATCAGTTTTACATCGCAGGTATAATATAGCTTTTATTTAAATTACTTTTTTTATTCTCATATCAATCAGTTTTACATCGCAGGTATAATATAGCTTTTATTTTATCCTCAACGATATATTATTGACTATTGACTACTCTATTTGAATTTTTATAATTATTGAATAAATAACTCGTTAATATTAAGTACTGATGCAACAAATAATATCTATTTAAGTAACCTAAGGATAATTTTAAAATTGATAAAGTAAAATTAAAAAAAAAGCATACTTATCTAGGACGACCTCATAACATATTGGCCTCATGAGAAAGCGAAATACATACCAAGATGTAACAAGACAAATAATTAAAATAGTCCACTAAGAAGCTATCGATTAGAGGGTTTGACTGCAACAAATAAATACGGCAGCCAACAATATGGATTTTGGCTTGCGCAACTAAGTTGGCATACGCAACACCTAGTTCGAGCCCATATGTTGGGGTCCTTGGGAATGAACAAATACCAAGTTGCAAGATTAATTAAAATGAAAATCAAAACTTCTGCAAATAAAATGTTGCAAAACGTTATACGTATTTGGAGGAGGATTAATTATTTTTTTCTCCTTCGTTGTTAAATTTGTTTAAAATTACATTGGTAGTATTATAAAGCAACATTATGAATTCTACTATAAGACCACTCTCATTCATGGGTGAAAAAAAAAATGCCATTATCTCTCTACCCACTTTCTCACTCCTCTTTCCCACTTTTTCTCATGGGCATTTTATTTTTATAACTTCTCACACACTCATGGGCTAAAATAAAACCCCACACCACTCTCTCTCCTACTTTTTCTCTCTCCTACCCATTTATCATCATCATCTAATTATTTATATGATTATGAATGTTAACAATAAATTGTACATTGTGTATGCTAATGACGTTATTATTTTATTCAATTGATCGACTTTTTCATATCAAACAATAAAGCATTAACATTACATTTTTTTTAATTTAAAAAAATAATATATTTTCATTTTTCCTGATAATTAAACACAAGCTTATTGATTCTCGGGACCAAATTTTTGCCAAATATGCTCGATAAGGTCATATTTAAGCGATTCATGTGTGCCCTTATCACGTAAAGCATTCCTTCTTCCCAAATAAGTGTCAATATCAATGTTTTCTGGTTGTCCAGTATTGAATTGAAAAGGCTCATCGTTGTTCGCCGGTGCACTTCTGCTTGTTCCGGCACTAGTGCTTCTACGTTGTGGTTGATCTTCTTCATAGAATTTTCTCAAAACATCAGCTCGAATGTAGTGATGTCGTTCATCCTCGACTATCATGTTGTGCATTATGATGCAAGCTTTCATAATGTCAGACAAAATATCTTCATCGTAAGCAAGTGATGGTTGTCGTAGTATTGCAAATCTTGCTTGCAAAACTCCGAATGCACGTTCAACATCCTTTCGAGCTGCTGCTTGTTTATCAGCAAACAACTTGTGTTTCTGAATTTGTGGGTGGCTAAATCCTTGGATAAATGTTTCCCAATCTGGGTAGATACCATCTGTTAGATAGTAACCTAAGTTGTATTCGTGACCGTTCACTGAAAAATTTATTGGCGGTGCCCGATCCTGCAAAACATATCAAATACAGGAGATCTATACAAGATATTAAGATCATTACATGACCCGGGAATTCCAAAGAAAGCATGCCATATCCATAAGTCTTGATCTGCAACGGCTTCCAATACTAGGGTTGCGTTCTTATTTCGCCCAGAATACTGGGCTTTCCATGCCATAGGGCAGTTCTTCCACACCCAGTGCATGTAATCAATGCTACCAATCATTCTTGGAAATCCCCTGCTTTCATTTTGGTAAAGGATCCTCCTTAGGTCATCGTCCGTTGGAGTTCTGAGATACTCATCTTGAAAATTATTATTTACCCCTTCACAAAAATGGTGCAATGAACGTCGTGCAGTTGTTTGACCCATGCGTACATATTCATCGACAGCATCTGGTGCCAAACTATATGCCAACATTCTTATTGTAGCTGTACATTTCTGTAATGGTGATAACCCAAGCCTTCCTGTAGCATCTCTTCGCTGCTTGAAAAACTTGTCGGTTTCAACCACCGTGTTCATAATGCGATTGAACAACGGTCTATTCATTCGAAACCTTCAACGAAATTGTTTGTCAATGTAAACGCAATTCAGTGCAAAGTAATCGTTGTACAATTGATTATGGCCCTCCTCCCTCTTTCTATCTCCCCTAACTTCTTCCTCGACACCCTCATTTACATTTCGATTTAAGGGTTGTGGTGTAGTAGGTTGTAGGAAGAAATAAGCTGGTAAATAATTTCTTGCAAATTCATCTACTATATTATCAAATTCTTTATAATGGTCACCATATCCATCAGAAGAACTTGAACTAGAGCTTTTGCTAAAATACATTTGTCGGTCAATGGATGTGGTTTAATTTGTTTTGGTTTAATTTGTGAATGGTTAAAGGGTTTCGGAGTTAAAGGGTTTCGGAGTTCATTATATAGACTATGTTTCTAGCATTGCTAGTATTGTCCATGCATCTGATGATTTTGACAACTCGCTTAGACAATTTAATGACATAAAGTTGAGTTACAACTCAATGCAAAATCAGTGACAATTCACTGACATACAATGACAATTAAATGACATACAAAGACAATAATAAGTTATATCAATACAACAAATTAATACGACAAACAAATGACAGTTGATTAAAATTACACAACATAACAATTACACATCCTAGGGGATAAAGCCTAGAATACATTATTAAAAAAACATACCTACATGATTAAAATCACACACAAATAGCTAAAGTTGATTAAAAACAAAAGTATATGATTAAAAAACACTAGTAACAAAAGAAATTAAAAGGGATAAAGCATAAAAATACATAATCAAGATTGAACTACACTTTAATTACCACCATATAGTTCTTGCATCAATTTGTTCCTAAAAGCTTCTTCACCGGCTGTAAGTGTTGCCTTGGACATTAAAGTTTGAAGCATGTCAAACTTCATTTTCATTTGGTCAAATTGCATTTGTTTCTCAGTTAATTCCATTTGTTTTTGCCTCCTTTGTTCCTTTGCCCTTTCCATCTCTAATCTTTGTTGGCGTGCATTGGCCTCATGAAGTCTAACCTCGGTGTTTGCATGCATTTCCTCAGTAAAACTAAGAACCGCCCCCTCCATTGCAACTCCTTTACCTTTGCGCTTTGCCTTAGTTGTCTTAACACCATCAGATCGAGGGAGTCCTCCAGAGAAATATCCACTGCCAGATGAGTCGGTCATATCATCTCCATCGACTCTAGGTCTCTTCCCACTTCCACTACTGTCCTGTTGATTATCATCTACATCCCCTTGTAGTTGCATTGCCTTCCTTTCTTCTTTAGATAGTTCCCACCGAAGTTTCGGCCTCCACTTTGGTTCTTTAGTGACCATCCTCCAACCATGCTCACATAAGAAGTTCCTAGGCTTGGGACGTACAGAGTTACGAAATATCTTATGAGCATTTTGATTCGGTCATCCTCTTTGTACCCACTCCCAAGTTTACCAGCTTCTTCATAACAACTTCCCCACAAACCAATATCTGGAGCAATTCGTCTCCAACGGTTCTCCAACATTTTAGTTGTTCTTGGTGGCAAGATATGTGGCTTTTCACCTTGAGCCAAATCATATGATGCAGAAACCTTTTGCCATAAAAATGATGCTTTCTGGTTTGACCCAATTAATTTATCGATGCAATGCTCCAAATAGCTAGCAATTAGTGCCTCATCTTCCGCTACAGACCAAATACGAGAGGGTTGTTGTTGATTTACCGGCGATGGTTGCGTCAGCGGTTCTGGAGGGTACTCCGAGGTCTTCGGAATATGTTCTTCATCTTCACCAAACTTAGAATTGCTTCCTTGATTACCAACCGGAGATTGTTCATAGTTATCAAAAGATAGTTGTGTTACCGGAGAAATTTCTTGGGGAGTATTTTGAATAGAAGTACTACTCATTTTTTGTAAAAATTGTTGAAAAGTAGGGTGATTAATGAAGGTTGGATCTAAATCTTCATAATTTCCTAAATATTGTGCATAATTAGGAAGGTTAGGATCCATTTACTGAGAATATTTATTAACTTGAGAAGTAATTATAGACGTCGAAATTCAGTAGAAAAAATGTGTTTTTTTACTGGATAAAAATGGCTGAAAATTGAGATCTATTTATCAAGTAAAAATAAATGTAGTCTTTCTTGTTTTGTTTTTTGTTTTTTAAATTTAGGTGAATCAGTCCAAATTGGCATGCAAAATTAACGGTAAAAAATAAGAGATGCCAACCTTGGGGACTGACAGGGACACGTGGCTGCAAATAAGTGGTCGCTCTGACGGTCCCTGTCAGGTGAGCCATGCAACGACTCTTTTTTACATTTTCAAGTTTTGTTAATTTTTTTTTTTAATTAAACATGGAGGGTCCACCTTCAATGTAGCTTTTACCATTAGCCATAGCTATGGGAATTTTCCAAATTCCTCATGGTCATATTTTTTATGGCCCATGAGTGTGGAGCTATAATTCTCATTTTTTCCCCTTAATTCTCCTCATGGGCAAAAATATACCCATGAGTGAGAGTGCTCTAATGTGATGTTAATTGACAGTAGAAGAAATTACAGGGAGTATCTCTTACACATATGTAGTATTACCTTAATTTAGTAGCCTCTGCATTAAAGTTGTTGAGTAATTTAGAGTATGAGACAAATTTCATGTTTGCGTTGCTTAATTAATAAAGGTGAAGATGTTAATAGGTTAAGGTGTTTAATTAAGTATAGCAAAGTAATTAGAAGCAAATTAAACTCGGTAAAGAGGAAATCCAAGCAGCATGGTTATTACTTAGTGGCGTTTGACTTACATAGCAAAACAATACACTGAGTGACGATTAAGTCGGTTTTTTCTTGCAATGTTTGGCCTGTTTTTTTAGCTTCAATATAAATATATGTTAATTAACATATGTTGAAAGATAAGAATAGAAAAGTCAGTTTATTCGTGACTTTTGGCTGAGGAAATATTTCTTCTATATATATGTGTGTTTAAGACACATGATGCAGATACATTTTTTTTGAGAAAGTACCAGTTCTTTATTTTCTTGATAAAGCAATTGCAAGTTTATTTATCATCATCATAAATTACATAAGTTTGGTTACATTAGATCACAAACATACTAAACACTGTTGTGATTGTCTTTTTTGTATCTCCTAGTAATTTCGTGATACATGTGTGTAAATTCAGGATCGAAATGTTACTTTGGGAAACAAGTTTCGTTCAGGCCCCGAAGTGTTAATTTGTCTAATTTCGTGTCATTTTTGTGACCCGATAAACCAATTTTCCCAACAATCCAAAGTAATATTTTCCTACAAAGATGACATGGTGCAAGAATCATCTTGCAAGCTTCATAATTTGTACAAATTAAGAGGAGTAGTTTTACGAAGATGGCAAAGTCTATACATTTTTTGGTGATATCACTTGGAGTTCCAATTGTACTCACATCCCCGAAGTTAATGGAGGAGGAAGACGAGACGTTTGAGGCAAGAGGAACAAGCGAAAGAACGATTTTGTTCGGTTCTAACAAAACAATGCAATTCGCAGTACTTTTATTATTATGTTTATTAATGGAGAATTGGTTAGTATTTCTAATTTTCTATACTGGTATTTTTTATTCCAAGCTTGAAATGATGAATGTGATGTTTCATTGTTTGATTATTTATTTTATGATTATTTAGCATGGATGATTGATTATCAAATATGATATTATTTGATGATGACTTTTTACTGAAGTATTAACATGTATATATTATGTTAATTGTTATATAATATCTAATTGGTATTGCATATGTTAATTGTATTATCATGGGATTATTATCGATGATATTAATGTGGCAAGTATTATGGTTTAATAAAGTATTTATTGGTCTATGCATGGTAAAAGGTCCGTTGTAGTTTTCAATGGGTTATGCGGTAATGACTAATGGCAACGGTAATTAGTATAATTATTGAGGTAATTCAAATGTCATGATTCAATTCAATTGATGCTCATTCCGATAAGTCATGAACGATTAATGTAATAGTATGGTATATATTATTGTTTATCTATTATATTCAATTATTTGAATTTATAGTTTTATTTTATAAGACTATGATTTATTTCATGTTTTATGATGTTATCTTGTGTAATTATTTTATGTAATTTCAGTTGTATAAGTGTATGTATATGAAACAAATTTGAGGCAATGAGGAGTTTGTCAAATTTGTATATATGTTGTATTAATTCTTATGCATGAAACTGATTTTGGTTTATGATGAATAAGTTAGATGTTTTTATCTTTCGTGATGTCCATGATTTGGAGGAAGTATTTAATTTTTTAATTGTCACGATGAAAGGATAGATGTTTTGACAAAATATCGATTTATTTTTGTTGGTTTGAATATGTCATGTTATGTTGGGATTAAGCCAACTAAGTTATGACATATTTGTTTATTTATTTTATTTCATTGGTGTTATCATGTTATTGATGTTTGTTTTAAGTTTTAATTCTCTCATTTAAATCCAATGTGAAGGAATAATTTGTTGTTTTATTAAGTACATATGTGCTTCCATAGCACACTTTTTTTAGGAAATATGAAGTGTTTATCAACTATCAATGATATTTTCAAGGTGTTGCTATGTTTATTTAGTGTATTCTAAGGATGAAACCTCAACATATTTAAAATCTACTAAGTGAAGTAGAGTTTCAAAGTAACGGAAAGTTTATAAAGTTTGAGAAATAATATAGGAGATGAATATTATAAGCCAAGTTATTTCCAATCTATAGGTTAGTACATGAAATTACCGCAGAATTTGTACCACAACAAAATGGTGTAGTTAAAAGGTAGAATAAGACACTTGAAGAAATGATTAATTCTATGTTGTCATATTTGGTTTTAAGTGATGGATATTGGGGTATAGCCGTTATAACGGCACGTTACGTGTTAAATCATGTTCCCATGAAAGGGAAAGATGTTACCCCATATGAGATATGGTATAAAAGGAAACCATACTTGAGTCATCTTAAAGTTTGGGGTTTTAGGGCAATTGTAAAAATGTCAAAACCTAAACATAAAAGTTAGGTGAAAGAAGAGTTACATGCATTTTATAGGATATGCGAAACATAGCAAATCCTATAGGTTCTATGTATTAGAGAAAAATGACTTTTGGTTGGTTCACATACACCACCATTGAGTCAATAGATGCATGGTTGGATGAAATTAGATTTTCTTCAATTCCTAGATCAAAGGATGTAACTCTAAATATCAATGCTCAAATTAAAGTTTTGATCAAGGTTTCGTTGATCAAGAGGTGGATGACCAAACTCATTTAGAGGAGACATGTACATCATCATCACAGCTAAGGATAAGCAAGAGGGCAAGGAAAGGAAAAATCTTTTGGCCCGGATTTTCATGGGTACCTGGTTGAAGGATCAAGGGATGAAGTTTCACTACAACATCCATACATTTTAATGTGGAAGATGATCCTTTCACATATGATGAGGCTATGAAGTCTCAGGATGTTCCATTTTGGAAGGAAGTAATTAATGATAAGATGAAATCTATCATGGGAAACAATATTTGGGTGTTAGCTAATTTACCACCTAGTTTAAACCAATAGGATGTAAATGGATCTTCAAAAGGAAATTGAGGATTGATAGAACTATGAGTGCCAATTCCCACTTCCTATGAGTGCCAAACATATTCACAACATGCTTAACGTAGGCGCACTTTGAACGACGCCTACAATTTGGCGACTCCAATGGTGAGGATTCTTGGTTATTTATCGATTTGAGTGATCGGTATTTAATTAAGAATGAGTGGATGAGACTTGAAAGATTCTTGAATTATATTCCTGAGATTTAATTGGCATTGTCACATATGCATATGCTTTTTAGGTCACCTATCACAATAGTACGTGTTCTACGTATGTGGCTAGCCCGGGGGATTTATGCTCTATTAATTCGAAAACGCTCATGGCAATAAAAGTTCACTCGAGTTTTTAAATCCACCCAAACCATGGAGTCGAGTTCGATTTCATCATGAAATTACGGAACCTCCCGTTGGCATACACCCTCAAGGGAGGATGCCTTGCTAACGCGTCCAAACTCTTAACCATGGTACCCTTTGACACCCAAATAAGCTTGACCATAGTGGAACATAGATCTTGACTTTAGGTTGCGAACTTCATTGCATCATTCGTGACAATGTGCTTATGTGTGGATATTTTTATTTTTTATTTTTTTCTTCTCTTTTTTTTTCTCTTATCAAAGCATTTTTTTTATTAGAATCGAGTCATAGTTTTTATTTATTTATTTTGAGTCAACCCGGATTTTTATTCTCGTATCCTGCATAAGAGTCAACTTGTTTTGGTCATAGCCGAAGTTCTAGAAAGATTTACGTGTCGTGACACCTATGGATCTGTAGCCCCGAGTATAATATTTAATTTTGAGTTAGTTTCGTCCCAATTAGAGTCACGGATCAAAAGTTATAACTGATATACTACAGCCTGTCCAGTTTAGGTGTCTTTTTAACGTCCACTTTCTTTTTTTAAATTTTTTATTTATGTCTTTCCGTTTCAAGCCATTCTTAGCCAAGTCCTTTAATCCGTGTCAAATCGTATAACATAGAATTATAGATTTTTTGTTTTTATATCCATGAGTCCTAACTCTTCTAGAATTTTAATCCTCTTCCTAGTTTCTTGTGATCGATTTTTGTGCTAACCTTAACATGTGTTCTTTGACTTTGATTGTGGTTGATCTTATTTATGACTAACGATTTCCAATGGACCGTTTTCACCTAATAAATAGCATAAACATTAAAATTGAACAAAATTAATCAAGTTAGTTTGTCTTTTAGTCTTCCGTGCTATTTGGTCATTGGGTCTTTTGTTTTTCACAACGTCCTCATGTCTAGCCATGCGATCATACCACGAGTCTTAATA